CACTGCAAGGGCCAGCCAAGGGAGGCAGGAGGTATTTGAGGGTGGAGGCGCCCGTTTCCTCATGCGAACGGCCCCAGCTGGGGCACCTGGGCATTAACCACCCCGGCTGGGCCGAGCTGGGCACCAGCAGAAGCCACCCCGGCGGCATCGCCTGCCTGTGTCACCCCCTCTCTCTGCCCGCTCCATCTCGGGCTCCATCCTCACCCGCCTTCATTTCCTTCCTTGCTGGCACTGGAAGGGGCCATCCCTCCATGCCACCCCTCCCTGGCACGAGGATCGGGATCCCTCCTGGAGACGGGATGCGCGGGCTTCTTTTCCCCGCTCTGCCCCTGGCTCCTTGCAAGGGCCTGTTCTCCAGCTGCGAAGGGAGGCTGCAGAAGCCTTGGAACATTCCCTGCCCGCCGCAGCGCGGAGCGCCCAGGGATGCCGGGGGGCAGCGCGGATGCCCCCATTAGCATCTGGCTCCCTGTTTAATGGCTGCAGTGAATCCCCGACCCAGCCCGGCTCATTCCGAGCTGGGCAGACAAGGAGAAGAAAAAATAATTATAGGAATTAGAGATCCATGCTGGACACAGCCCCCTCTGCTCCCCGATGGACCCCGCCAGAGCAGCTCCATGGAACCTCTGTGCTGAGTCATGCCAAGGACCGCAGCTCACGACGGAGCCAAGAGGAGCTCCGTGGGACACATTTCCCGGGGATGTGCCCAGGAAAAGGGGGCTGGAGGGGAAGTGACGTGGCAGCCCCTGCTCCTTCATCCCCATGCCTTCCTGGGGGGCAGCAGGATAACGTCCCGCGAAGCTGCGGAGCTGCCGTGAGCACGGCGCGGGCAGGGAGCAGAGGGGAGCGCGGCCGGGACCGACGGGAGCAGAGGAGAAACGGGTTGGGATGAGAGGAGAAACCTGCTCACAAGGAGCTCGTGACGGCGAGGCGGAGCGGCCCGGCGCCCCGCAGCGCTGCGGGAGCTCCTCGCTCCCGGCGCCCCTGGGAGCGCAGGGATGGAGCGATAAATGACACTGCAAAGGGATGGAGGTGGCCAGGACGCTGCAGGGAGTGGGGCTGCTCTCGGGAACTCCCAGCAAAGGGCTCGCCAGGACCAGGAACAAACTGAAGCTCAGGTCCTGGAGATGCGGAAGAGCCCAGGTACCAGCCCGTGAAGGCAGAGCCACATCCCCACGCTCTGGATCAGGCCCAGAGCCCACTTGGACTCGTTATGGAGCATTGGGACGCAGACGAGGGCTTGCCCGCCGAGCCGTGGGGATGCTCTCCGAGCCCGGCTGCCGGGATGCCGATTACGAACGCGGCTAATTATAGCCGCAGGCTGCCTGGCCGCGGGCTCCGACGCACTGTCTGGACCTGCTGAGGACGTGTCCCTCCCGAGCCACCTCCCCTTAGTCATGTCCCCCCACCCAGGCCAAGGGCGGCCCTGGGCACAGCCACACGTGCAACGAGTTTGCGCTTCTCAGGATGTTCCCGAGCGTGGGCACAAGTGGTCAGTGGATCCCACAGGAGCACAGAGGGCTCTTCCCAAGGACCCTGGCTCAGCCTTTTATTTTTAAACAAGATCCGGTGCTGGAGGAGGATTTACCAGGTGCTTATGGGCAGCCCGGCCCCCCCAGCCCTCCCGGGGGCTGAGCTGGGGATGAGGATCCTGCTGCAGCGCCAGCACAGGGGGGAACCGGGACCCTCTGCCCAGAGTGGGCCTAGAACCGGGCTCAGGCGGTGCCGGCGAGGGGACAGTGCCACATCCCCCAGGAAAGGAGCGCGGAGAACACCCTCCCTTGCACCTGGAGAAGGCACAACTCCCCCGCCCCAGCTGGATTTCCAAGCACGGGAGACTCCCGCGTGCACCATTCCCTTAAATCCTCCCCAGAAGCGGAGGAATCCTCCCCATAAACCCACCCCGTTGGGTTCGCACGATGTAGGCAGGGGGAGAAGCCCCGTTCCTGCCACCCCCCCGCCCCGG